TTACAATCCTCAAGCCGCTTCGCGATACGAGTTCGACGGGCTTGTTCAATAAGCGGCAGATTGATCACGGAACAGACATAGTTGTCATCATTAATGAGTTCCCGCTCATTAGTACTGCCACTCCGGGTGATCTTCCCGAAAAATCCCTTGCCTGCCTTGCCAATTCGATCCGCAGCACCACTCGATGACTGCTTGATATTATTGAACAGCGCTGCTGAAGCACCCGATACTTGACTCAGGGAAGCGGAAGGAACCATCGACCCACCATATCTGTCTTTCCGTATCGAGCCGCTGTTGACGTCCGTCAGACGGTCGATGGTATAACTGCGGACGTGAGGATTCCCTGTAGGCTTGACTTCTGCTGCTTTGGGGGGCATTTGTGCCTCCTTTCTGGTGCTTTCTTCAAGTCTCATAAGGCTGGTTGATGGACGCCTATGCGCAATCCTATTCACAGAGGAGTCGTCCAATCTGATTGATCGAGAGCGAGAAAGGAGATTTGCAAAGCGTGGTTTGCTCTTCTTAAGAGTATGACCAGACTCAGACTCCGTCCCAACTCGCTTAATTTCCGCTTGTTGCGCGTGCCTGTCGTCGGAAGAATAACTGTCTAGAGCGTGTCAGTGTATTTAAATGGAGCGACAGACATGACTGTGGACATACTGTTTTCTTGTTGCGCCGCACGCTCAATCGCACCGGGAAGGTCCGGAGTTGACTCGTACAGCTTTGATGATATCTGTGTTCTGCGATCTCTAGAACTGCCACGACTCCTAGGCTTGTCGCTCGAATTTCCCGAGCTATCAGACCTCTGAGCCCTGTGAGAAACCTTCGGTGCCTTTAAATTCGCAAAGAACGAACGCGAAGGGTCACGACTATGTTTGGGGGAATCTCGTGGCGAGGGAGGGTACTGAGGAATGGCCGTGACGCCTTGAGTAGGTGATTCTGCGGTGAGGCCGGGGGAGACTGGTAGGATCGGGCTATTTGCTTTGCTATTCGATTCTTGTGTGACAGAACGGATTGTGGTGCCCTTGAAGAACGTTGAACTTGAGGAAGATTTGGGTGATCGCGGCGTCAGGGGACTGGGTCCATCCGAGCTTGCACCAGGTGTATGTGGGGACGAAGTCTTTGCGCTTGCTTGGAGTGTGGAAGGGCTGAGATCTAAATTCGGAACACAGGACTGTCTAGACGGCATCTTAGACGTTGATCGCGGGTCAGATAGCGGCGTGGACAAATCGTCAGGGGGAGGCCGGCAAAAGCGATAAACCAAGCGCTAACTGAATTCTAAAGGGAAAAAATATTGACCTATTACTCACAAAATCATATATTAGCACGGAATACACGTACGTTCCTAGTTAATCGGTGATATTTTTGGGATGCTGAAACAGACTAACCGAGAGACCCCAGATTCTAGAACTTACCCTTGTTCTAAAAAAGTTGGCGCTTTCTAAACCTCTAGGGCGAGAATATCCTAAATTTATCCCTTCTTTCAGGAAGAGGTGATGCCCCATGTATTCTTGGAGTATATCGAGAGAGATCGCACGGTAAATACACCGACTGCAACGGGACCAGCCTTGCCAATAAGTTTCCTAAATGTCGGTGTCGAAAACGCTGTCAAAGCAAACAATGATCGTACGTGGAAGAGGAGAATATCTCGGAGCGACCGCGTCTAAGAAATAGTTGCATGGTCATCAGCGATCCAGGCCAGAAACAAAGATGGCTTTGCACTAAAGAGATAGGAAGAAAGAGTGGCGTGCAGCAATTAACGGTAAGGAGCGTCGATAAAAGAAGGGGAAGGGGGGCGATGAATGCATGAAGCCATCACGAAGGCTGACATTGTCATGGTTTACCCCTTGGTATGCGTCAAGAAGAAGGGAGAGAGCGAGAGACTCAAAGTGAATTCATCATGTGGTTATAGGAAAGAACAGTCGGTTGGATCCATCACCATCCTACCGACAAGAGCAGATGAGGGTATCTTAACACCTTAACATACCAGAATGCGCAGCCCCTCATATTAGGGATTGGATATTCTTGACTGAATTTCTTCCCAATCCACGCCCGTCTTTTGTCCAACGGTACTCTTTGTAGATTCCTTGGTCGCAGTCGAACTCAAACCCTGCTGTCCTGATAATTTTTTTCCCTGGACTTTTTTTTTTTTTTTTTTTTTTTTTTTTTTTTTTT